TCAGATGGAGAAGTGACAGCTGCGATGGTTTAGGCATACGTTGCAAATGCCTCCAGAAAGGAAGGCGACGCAACTGCTACTTGACCAGCAAACGGCCAAAAATCGAAGAATAACATGGTAAAAATGTCTCGATGGATTCTGCTCCAAACTAGGTTATCTTCTGCCTTCTGTTACCTTCCTCCTCAGTAACTTGAAAGGACAAGTGGTAATCTAAACCGACTGATTGAAGTTCCTATAACAGATCGGCCTTCGCCAGGTCACCAAGGGCAGCGCATATTTTTGGAGAAATGAGGCAGCATGTGACAAATGAGCAAACAGAACATGCTTCATGTCTTTCTGCACCCTGAGTCAACAGTCGTCTAAAGAATGGAAAAGAAGTAACAAAGTGTCATTTTATTCATGCGAAATAGGCAGACGCTATAATAAAAAATATCCTGGAACGATGGAGAAACGTTTCTCAAAATAGTGACAAGAGAGTTAAGTCTAGAGTTCCAGAAACGGGTCAATGAAAATAATATGCTGCTGAGACAATTAGAACTGAATGAGACCAGAATAGGGCATGACTCTGGAGCCCCTGCGCAAGAAAAACAATGAACAAACAAGACTATCAGGGACGATCCAGACGAAACTATTACAAGACGAGAAGAAGTGGTTGAAGAGAAAGAATATATGTAGTTGAATGAGAAAGAGCCGTCACCTTGGGAAATGATTCAAGAATTTAAGTAGCTTCAAGGAACCAGAAGGTGAACCCCTCCAATCAGAGGCAAGAAGATTCTACGTGTATACACTAATCAAACTAACAGTACCCTAAATATCATACCATTAAGTAATTTGAAATCCATTTTTGGACTTATCTATGATGCAGCTCTTGCAATACACAGGAAACTTTGAGTTAAGCTAAAAGCAAACCTGAGAAGAAGTGAAGAGTTAGCATGGCTTATAGAATTAGGAGCAGACAAGAAAAAATCCGTTGAGAAGAAAACTAATTATGACAACTGAATAATTGAATAACGGGAACGTAAAGACAAAAGCGAGTATAATGAGAAAGAACAGGACTGATACCA